TATCGATTATATCGATTATATCGATTATATCGATTATATCGATTATATCGATTATATCGATTATATCGATTATATCGATTATATCGATTATATCGATTATATCGATTATATCGATTATATCGATTATATCGATTATATCGATTATATCGATTATATCGATTATATCGATTATATCGATTATATCGATTATATCGATTATATCGATTATATCGATTATATCGATTATATCGATTATATCGATTATATCGATTATATCGATCATATCGATTATATCGATTATATCGATTATATCGATTATATCGATTATATCGATTATATCGATTATATCGATTATATCGATTATATCGATTATATCGATTATATCGATTATATCGATTATATCGTTTATATCGATTATAGGTATCGATTATATATCGATTATATCGGTTATATCGATTATATCGATTATATCGATTATAGGTATCGATTATATATCGATTATATCGATTATATCGATTTTATTATCAGTTTCATAATTAGATGTTCTGTTCTTCATAAAAGTGCGGCTCACAGGAGTAATGAATGAACTTTCTAATAGGAAATCCATCAGCCTGTTTCATTGATCGAATTGTACTGACTTTACCATTTTCGATGTCCTAATGGTATATCTTACTCATTTTCAAGGAAAGAGATCTGCGGATTTCGCGAATGTTGACTACTTTCTTGTGAAACTCATAATACCATAAACACAATTTGTCATAGTTCGCTTCGTTTCATAGATACAGTGCAAAATTCAAAATTTTGCCTCTTAGAACGACCTGTATCTGAACGTATGGAAGAAGTAGAAGTTGTCTCTTGTTAACATTCTCCACGGAAGATCCAGTGGCATACTTAGTCAGATTCTCGAAACGAACTTTTCAGATAGATGCTTTGCGGTTTTCAAAACACATAACATTAAACTTATAATATTTATCGTATTTTCCTTGTATTTTGATCATTTCCAGTTTTTTCAGTAGGTATATCTTATTGATGGGCCTTGGCAACATTTTCACAAATGTTCATATTTACCTTGTTGCTGACAGTATTTTCTCAAATACCAGTTTCAATTTTATATTGATATACCACATACACCAATGTTCACCACAATTTATTGACTATAAAAGCTGTGATTCTAATTAGTATGTGGCAATGAAAAAAAGTGAGTGCAGAATGTTTTGAAATTTTTGTCAACTGACTATACCTGTCGTTAGAATCAGTAATGGTTGATGATATTGATCATTGGTTATCATTCGCCATTGTATGAAACAATTTGTAAACTTTGACAGGTAGTCAGGTGGAAAGAATTATAAAACATTCTGCACTCGCTTAGTGTGTGACGAAACAATGTGTCACAAAAATATGAATATTATTTCGATATACGTGTAGTAAGGACAAATCAGATGATTTGCCCCAAAATGTCACTGCGTTTGAAGAATTTTCCAATCAGAGAGCCTAAAAGAAAAAATTCACTAGGCTCTCTGATAGGAAAATTCTTTAAACGCAGTGACATCTTGGGGCAAATCATCTAATTTGTCCTTACTACACGTATATTGGAATAATATTCATATTTTTATTTTATAGAAACGAGGAGAGAAAATCCCAAAAAATTTGGAATAATGAATGTATCACCTCCTCGATTAACCTACAGGCAGTATTTCACAAAATATCAATTTATAAATATAAAAAATATACTGTGTTTTATTTGAAGAGATATAAATTCAGTTATATCTGAATAATGAATAACAGGAGCCAAAATTAATATTTTTTGACATACCCCGTATAAGACTGAAAAACTTTGATATCTATATTTGGGTCAACGATTTCAAGCCTGGCAAAGCTTTTCACGACGAATAACATGTTTTCCTGAAATTAATAAAGAACAAGTTTTGAATTTGTTGCCAACTGTTCCAGACTAATGTTACGTTTCTTATATGATTATCAAATAGATACAGAGAAGTGCACGAAAATCGGACACAACTGTAACTTCTGAATCATTCGATTTCGGAATTTGAAAATATACTGAATTTCTCATCAATTGACAAGAAAATTTAAGTTCGATCACTTCCTGTGTCAGCAGAAACGAACCCAACTTTGTATCTTCAAATTGGACACACTGCGTTATATTCCATAATCGTTTAGGTATTATTATGACGAATTCAGTGATACCAGGTTTGATAGGGTTATTCCAAATGATCACGAAGGTATTTGATTTAGATTTTTCCATAAATGCTCAATGGGTGTTACTTCGCAATATCTGTACTTCTCTGTCACACTCATTGGACATATAGAAGCTAAGAACGCCATTATCTTCGTATTCGTTTGAAATAACCCTGTCAAACCCGCTATCCTAGAACTCGTTATGATAATCCTTATTGCCAAATCATGGAATAATAAACATTAAAAAATCAGCAGTTGGGATAATTTCCGGTGAAACTGGAAGTGACAGAACTGATATTTTGTCAATTGATCAGGATCTGATCCCGAATGAATCAGAAATAACATAGCACTGGCCGTTTGTTGTGCACATCTCTGTACATATTAAAAGTATTCTGATTTTTCCAATCATATGGAGGTAGAATTCTCAAATTTCAAGGAAATAGAAAGCTTTCAAAGATACATTCCATGATCGATCGTTTATCGGAAAATATTAAGGAGCAATAAAAGCCTCTAAACTGAACGATCTACACAATTTGATCACTGAAAGATGCCAGAGGCGTACTACGAAGAAGTTTGGAGGAAATAAAAAGCCTCTACCTCCAAAAACGTATCACCCTGTAGATTTTGAAAATCTTCAAAATGCTTGAAATGATGATCTTCTAGGAAGTATTGACTACACCAAATTTGAAAATGATATCTTGAAAAGTAAGCGAGATATTTCAATTGATAAAAACAAATAATTTAACTTTGACCTCCTGTAGGAGGACTAATATTTGTATGAACTTTTGTGATTAATATAATGAGATCTATCTCCCATTTCAGTTTGTGCCTCAAAACCTGAACCACCCTGTATATTCTTTAGCGTTATAGGAATATGACTGGAAAACTTCCCAAACATTTTTCGTCAAATGGGAAGCATGTGGAATTCTTCGATATTTTCTAGATTTATAATAGTGAAATATTCATTTTCAGAATGAAAACACGGCAGCAGAATATGTTGAATTATCGCGAAGATATTCAATGTTCCATTTAGTAAAAAATGTGCTTGTTGCGTTTGTTTCAATCAGTAGTTTGATTCATCAAAAAATCGAAAATCATCCCAAACAAACCCTGAACAGCATCTATATGCATTCGGCGGTACTAACACAAATATTCTGTGCATCTAACTGTGATGAAGTTATCTGTAATAATTGGATATTTAGTGTATTTACAGAATGCTGTACTGATGAAATACGATTCTGATAGAATACGGTTTTGACGAAATACGGAACTGACGAAATACGATTCTGACGAAATACGGTTCTGACGAAATACGGTGATGATGGAATACGGTTCTGATGAAATACAGTTCTGATGAAATATGTTTCTGATAGAATACAGTTCCGATGGAATACGGTTTTGATGAATTACTGAAACTATAAAATACAGTGCCGATGAATTGATGTGACGATGGAATACAGTTCCTATACGATACGATTTTAATGAATTACGATTCTGATGTTTTACTGAAGCGACGAATTACGGTACTGATAATTTACTGAAGCTATGGAATAGGGTTCTGTTGGAATAGCATTCCTATGTAGTACGGTTCTGATAGAATACTCTTACGATAGAATTAGATTATGATAAATTACCGTGATGATGAAATACTGTTCTGATGAATTACTATTATGATCAAATACGGTTCTTATCGAATACCATTCTGATGGATTACATTTTGACGAATCACGTTTTGTTATAATACATACCTACAAATTACGGAGCTATGTTTTACAAAGCGATGAAAAACGTGCTTACAGAATACAGTAACTATCAATTACGGTACCTACGAATTACCATTCTGATGAAATATATTCTTATAAATCATATTTTGATACATTATATTCTGACGTTTTGGGTGTTCCCTTCTGTTCGAATTTCAGTAGTTGATACGAATTGAAATGTTCAAAATTGTATTTCACAAACAAATATGTGTCTCAGTGATTTATTATTTTACACGTCCGAAAACGGTTTTTTTGGACTTGCAGTCATGCAGGACTCGCCTGACGGCTCGGTCTAGGATTTTCCCTACCCGTCAAAAGAAAACAGTATTTCCTGAACTTGTTCCGTAAGTTACTATTTACAATATCATTATATTTGGTTCCCAGTGGAAACAAAGGCAGAACGATTTCTTTTAATTAATGTTCAATATAAACCCTAGATTCATTAAAATAATGTCAATTTGTTTATTTCCACCACCAAATAATTTCGTATCACAATTAAATCCAACTTTCACTAGAAATAGCCATGAACATTATTTAGGAAAACAATTATTTCCTTCGGAACTATGTGAAATAAGAAATTTTCCCGCATATAACAAAATAAAAATAATTTGATACCCCTATTTGATACCCCTATCTTCACCCCTAAGAATACTCTGAAAAAAAAATTCAGGAGGTGAGGAAGGTTTCAACCCTTGTACAATTTCCTTCGAGTTCCTTTGGATGCTGAAAGGAAGGTTATCCTGTCTGAAATGCACTTTTATCAAATTTCATCCAATTTGTTTCACTCATTTCTGAACATCGTACAAAAATATGATTTTTTTTATGTAAACTTTGAACTCGTGTGACAAACACGGTACATTTATTAAATGAATGGGTTGGGTCCAATCAACTTATTTTGAACTGTATCACACATGGTAGCTCTGTGTCGCAGCAATTTTGGGACACCCTGTATATTATCAGTTTGAATGCCAATAGTATCTAGATTATTGTATCTGATGATATGCGAGACTTGAGTTGAAGCTTTTATACGAAGTATATATTATGGTGATATAATTTACTCACTTATCTATGTCAGTGTATACTTGATCGCATACGTAACACCTTGTTTCACCGTCTTCTTCGTCTTCCTCACGTTCATCAACTGTTCCACTGTGCTGGGAGGCTGCAAAAAGTACTTCACTTCAGATAAAGTCAGTCAAAAACAATATCACGATAGAATAATTATGCATCAGTGTTGAAGCGATGATCAAATCGAAATTAAAGTTTAAATTGGAAATAAATCTGTCTACTGAATTATTTTGAAAAAATATTGGAACTAATCACGGAGTGAAGGAGGAAATAAGGTGCTCATTTTAGCCCACTATTCGTTTTCGAAAATTTCATTCGTTCCGTAATACATGTGAATTTTTACAGTCGTCGTTATACCCCATTTAAACCGTCAAATGATGAATATATTCGAATCATCTACTTCTCAAAAACTTTCAACTTGAAGACAATACAAGAATATTCTCAATTGACAAAATAATTCATTTGACACAATCTTGATCGAATGAAATAAATGAATGATTATAATCGTTTAAAGATAGTAACCTTCAATATATCTTCACGATGATATTCTTAACACGATCACAGAAAACACAAGGCAAAATGTCACAATATAAACCAATCCACAGGTACCAAAACACAAATTTGAACTAAATTATCAAAGTTTGCCGCAACATATTGCACCTTCACCTGTCCCCTTATTGGCGAGCAGCGACTATGCTTCCACCCTCTCTCTTTCAACCCCAGAAAGCGCGAGTAGAACAGTGACAGAAGAGGGTTGAAACGTCAAATGCATGAGAAATGATTTTGTTAACCCCGTTTATGTCTGTAATGACGATAGTTGTGGGGAAATTAGATAGCAGTGGGGGTTTCCGTTTTTGGAGACTTCGTTTTGATTGAGGGTGATGACTGTTGTGGATATTAACAGATTGATTGGGGTCACATTATTGGTGTAATATTGAAATATCATTTGTTTAAAGAATTGAAACTCCAAGTAGAGATCTTATGAGAATTGAATTATTCTATACGATATTCATTCCAGAACCATCAACCTCATCTGGAGGTCCTCTCAGAGATTACATTCTGGAATCAACAGAACCAGATATTTTCTGAATCTCTCTCTTCTCTTTCTAATCGTTGGTGATTCCTCATTCTAAAATGACATGAACTGATTGGCAAAACAAAGAAACGTCTATATGCAGAATATAGCCTGGATTCAAACCAGAATTATTCTCGAATCCTTGAAATAATTTCGATTCGGAATCCCAAATATTCATCATAGTCAACAAATAACTTGTTGTAACAAAATGATAATGAAAAATTATCAGAGTGACAATTGAAGCAGTTTGAATAGGGTGGGTTATCGATTTGAAGTTTGAACAAATGATTTATTCTAATATTTTTGCTGTATTTCGAAAGGAGACTTTGAATTCTTCGAATAAGGGCCCCGCTAATCGAGTGAAAATCATTTATACGAAATGAAAGGTTTATTATCTTCAATAACGGAATTGTTCGAAAATGTCGAATAATTTTTATACAGAGATTCATTCGGAGAGATTCAACATTGAAATCGCTGTTTCAATGAAAAACAGTGTCCCTCAAGAGCTGATTTCATCAATATATCACACTTGGGGTCTATCGAAAATGGTTACAAAGATATAGGGTGTTCAAAATCGACATTTTTCAACTTTAGGATTTTTTTGTGTCTAAACTATCTATTCATTATATATTATATGAATTGATATATTATATGAATATATTTTATGTATCGATATGTATCGATAGATCGATATGTATCGATATATCGATAAATCGATAAATATCGATATATCGATAAATATCGATATCAAAGCGAACATCGATATCGATATCCAATTTTCAATATTGTACAGCCCTAGTTGTTACTCAATATTATCTCATACATTAGTTATTTCATATTATCCAATCTATACATCATGAATGATAAAGAGATACATGCATATTTTTTAAATCTGATTGATAATATGGATAATCTGAATATGAACAAAATACAAATTGTTTCCATACATGAATTTATACTTTGATATTCGTTCCTTAAGGGTGATTTCATTTGTTTCCTGTTAGAATAAACGCTATCAGCGTAACATGTCAAAGATGGATGGGTGATAGCTCGTGCCATATGGCGTTCTTTTGTTTTATGGCATTATAGTTGTTTCGATTTCTGTTTTATCATACGTATTCTCACGTGATGAATTTTCTAAATTAGGGGTTGACGGACAGATGTTTAAATTCGTTTAAATATACACCTGACATCTAACCTATAACGTTCTTGATTTTATGCGATTCTGTGACTATATGGAAATTCTGATGAATCGTTTTCTGATATATATGAAGTTTGTCTTCTTATGGAAGTAACCATGTATGTTCTGTATACAATTATTGAGAAAGGATTTTGAAATTTGCATCAGCAATATGGCTATCGATAATGCACTTACAGCGATGTCATCAGTTATATACATACACTGCTCGTCAGTAGCCGTGAATGATGCCATTTATTTCCTTTTTTTTTCTGGATATAAATATTTTCATAAATCAACCTTCTTCTGTGTTCTCATGAAAGCACCCCTTTGCTTTTGTTATTATCGAAGTGAAATCATGAAATATGTAGAAGCAAGAACACAATCGAAGGTACTTCAAATGAGCAAATGGGATTAGTACCAGTCTCAAATACACTGCTAGCCAGCAGTGTCAGTATTCTATAATGCTGCTGGCAAGCAGGTATAGATATCCAAGAAACTTTTGGTAGTTCAGAAATCATCATTTTAAAAATAATATAGTGGACATCTATTGAAAAATCGTTACCAAATTCGATTGAGTATCTTTATTTAAATATAACGTTATTATGCGAAATGAACAATTTCATTGCAGACTATTAGTTTGAGCGCATAAGTATTTATATACAGTGTCATTCATAAAGTCGGCATCATATGGGAAAAACTTTTATTCATGACTTATTTTGGAATTCGAGTTGGACGTTAAGTTTCGCTTCAAAAAAGATGAAGAATGTCCTACTCAATCGGGGTCACGTGACTTTCGCTACATGTCAAAAGTGGCATTTTTTCAAATTAATCGCTGAAAGTAGGCTTATTTGTTCGAATATCGAAAAAGTTCACCTGAAAGAGTTGTTTCTATTTCAATTTTACACATGCTTCTCGTATTTGACTTTTCCATTGCAACTTTTAGATTTTGATTTTTTTTTTAATTTTTCGAAATTTCTGTAATATTTGAAGAATTGTTAATTCCACGTAACTAATTCATACCAGTAGCTTTTTCATTCTACTCACTTTCAATCAATTATTATCGCTGATTATGGACCGAAATATGATTTTCTTCAGAAAATGATAATACGACCTGCTTCCAAATTCTGATATGTTTGATGCAAAGTTGATATATCGTCAAGCATTTAGAAACGAAATTCATTTAAACTGATCATTTCAGTACTGAAAAAATGAATTTGAATGAATTTCGTTTCTAAATGCTTGACTTAAACATAACAGAATTTTGATGATATATTTGCATCGAACATAACAGAATTTTGAAGCGGAGATTATCATTTTCTGAAGAAAATCATATTTTTGTCGATAGTTAGTGATAATTAGTAATTGAAAGCTAGTAGCATGATGAAGCTACTGATGGTATGAAGTAGTTCCATCGAATTTACAATTTTTTTAATATTACAAAAATTTCGAAAATTTTTAAAAAATATCGAAATCTAAAAAATGTAATAGAAAGATAAAATCTGCCCCGATTGAGTAGGCCATTTTTCATCATTTTCAAAAGCAAAACTTAACGTCCAACTCGAATTTCAAAATAAGTCATTAATAAAAGTTTTTCCCATATGATGCCGACTTCATGAATGACACTGTATGTACATATTTCATAGACTGTTTCATGTAGTTCTCAAATGAATCAATAGAGGAGTTCTGGACAAGTTCGGATTATCATAAGTAATATCACGATTTTCTGAAAATTCGAGATAATTCTGTCTCTTCATTCTTCACTACATTGCGTTACCAAGCAATACCAGGAGTTCGTCATCAGGAAAGTTCCTTATTATGTTATATCGCGTACCCTAGGAACTCTAGACCAGTGAATGATGGTTATTCACTGCTATTATCCACTGGTATGAAAAATGACTACAATTTTTCTTGAGGAAGTACCGGAAGTACATGTATTATGAATATTTGATAAAACAGTCGTGGATATAAAAAATCAGAAATTATTGTAATCGAGATATCAACCTTATCGCGAGTAAGTACAAGTGGGTGTTAAAATACTCAAAAACTTTCTATGTAATAACTGATATATACCTAACTTATAATAATTGGGATTGAAAATTTTTTCAACTATGCTATATTATTACTGGTTTAATTAAATTATGTATTTCGCCCGATGTCAATCCTCTTTTTATTGAACTCGGGATTGAATTTCATTTTGCTGAATTTCAGACTTTTCACTTTCCACTTTGTTGTTGTGTTGTTTGTTGAAAAAGGCTAATGAAATACAACTCATGATTGAATTAATCTCATAAGTCTGTCTTTCATTCTTGAATCAATAGACTTTTTACGAATATTTATTCACTTATGGTATTACTGCTGATGATAAAATTTGCCCCATCACCAAATGGACCAAGATTTTTTGAACGAAATCTGTTCAAATAAATGATTGAATCCCATGACCCATTCAACCGCGGATTTTGTTTTCTTCATATCGTATTTAGTTTGTCGATTATCACTGATTCTTACAGTCCATGAAAATTCATTGATTTATCAATCGTTATTATGCTTATATGGATATTCATCAATGAATAATCCATTTTGGATAGATTTCTCATAAGGATAATTTGACATAAGGAGATGAAGATACGTCAGAATTTGTAATATTTTCATGCATACATTGCTATGGAGGTTTCTTTGATGGTCGTGAAGTTGAGAGTAAGAAAAAGTGAGTCTGCTCAAGTCATTACATAACTCGAGGTTTCACATTATATCATACATCATTTTTTCGGAATATTTTGCTGGATAGCCTGAGAGACTCTCCGGAATATCATTGTTGCACAGAATAATCAATGTAATAAAA